ATATATCCAAATTATTTCGTTACTCCCACCGACGCAGCCCCAAACAGTTTCTTTCGAAACTATCAGCCTTTATTCATTTCCAATTTTAATTAATCTAACTACAGATTTTCCCTGCCGACCTGAGCTAAAATTCGATAGCTTTCAATTATTTCAGACCAGTTGGAGTGGACCCGGGATTTGCGATAACGGTTTGTAAACGGTTTTCGTAAACTCTTGGGAAGGGCTTCAAATTAAAAAACAACACCCTACTTCAGACCGAAATGGTGAAAATCTATACCCTTGGAACGGGACGTACCTATATAGCTTAAACTTAACTTTTCAACAGGAGATGTCACCGTTGTCGACGCTCTTCGTCAGTGAGAGTACGTTCGTATTTCTCTGGAAGCAAAATTTCAATCGCACGGCAGTTGCAATTTCTCTGCAAATGGGCGCACAAGAGTTCGTTACGAATGATGGAAATTGAAGGAAGGGCCTCACAGAAAGTTTTAGTCAAGTTCGCACGAAAGTGTCGGCAAGTTGCATGGGAAGCATTTTTGCGTCACCCGATCCCACAGTTAGGCAGACCAGGTGTGATCGTGCAGATCGACGAATCAAAGTTAAATCACAAGTCCAAGGTAAGAAAATAGGAAGTACAGGCCTTCGAGTAGTCATGAGTTAGGTGGGTTCGGACCCAAGAGGGTGTCCTTCGGCGAAAAATAGTATCTGTATTTTTAAAGTAAACTCCAACAAATTGTGTTGACATAATTATGTTTAACTTTTTCTGTTGACATCTGGCTGACCTCACTTGTCAGTGAAGGGTACGAACTAAAAATCGTACAGTGGAATACCGAATTTCGAACCATAAACGGACATTGCAATTTGTTCGAAAAATGGGGAGCTTCGAGAAAGCGGGAGTAAAATTACAGTGAAGTAAAGGCAAGGAAAAGGAAATTTTGTTTCCAAAAAAAGGGGATTTTCAGAAAATTGAGTATTCGAAAAATCTGCATTCCACTGTACAACGGTCGTAGTTTCTAAGAGAACGCAGGCGTTGCGAGTACATGCAGCACATGAACTCACGACTGGAACGTTTGTCAGAGTGTAGGAAAATGTGAAATGTACGCACTGGCTGACCTTAGTTGTTTCCATCCTCTCATTACAGAACCAAACTAAGGCATTTAATCTTATGCTAAAGATTTTTGGGAGCGCTTCGTATCACCTCCGCCCCCTCCCATCTTTAATGTACCGAATTTTCAATGATTCTTTTCATAATATTTTAATTAATGCAGCTGTAATTGTTATTCCTTTGCAGTTTCACAGAGGGTGTCGGCCTCGAAGAGACAGATGGGTACTGGGGTTGTTTGACACACGGTATGCTCCAGCCCGACCATACCTACAGCTCGTAAGGCGACCCAATGCGGCGACTCTTTTGCGTATTATTCAACGGAAGGTTCAACCTGGCTCCATAGTGCACTCAGACCAGTGGGCGGCCTATCGGCAACTCCAGAGAAGACTCGGTTTACAACACGGGGCGGTGAATCATTCGCTACATTTTGTTGATCCAGTAACCGGAGTCCATACAAAGAATGCTGAAAGCAACTGGTGTACGCCAAAGGAAAAATTTAAGAAAATGAAGGGAAACACAAATCCTGACTTTCTCCTTGAATACCTACAGGAATTCACGTGGCGAAGGTGGTATAGTGAGCCTCACCCAAATGGATGCTTTCGAAGGCTGCTCGATGACATTGTTGAACAGTATCCCCTTTAAGGGAATCAGTCAAAACCATTGTATTCGTACGGGACCCAACACACAGCAAAAAATAAGTCGTCTCTTTCTGCTACCATCATCCCCCACCCTCAAAGTAGGCTTGGTTCCATATCCCCACACCGGAGTAAAGTGTATTGTTTTACAAGCTGACGCTTGACCGATATTCCACCGACACGTGACCGATATTCCACCGAGACGCGACACTCCATCTGTCGGTCGACAGTCGGTCGACATATCGACCGACATGTCGACCGACTATCTTCCGACTATCGACCGACTATCGACCGACTATCGACCGACTATCGACCGACTATCGACCGACTATCGACCGACTATCGACCGACTATCGACCGACTATCGACCGACTATCGACCGACTATCGACCGACTATTGGCCGACTATCGACCGACTATCGACCGACTGTCGACCGACTGTCGACCGAC